CCTTGCATCCGATGACTAAGGGGTGAGTAACTGTCTGAAGGGTCTCCTGGAATGATCGCAACTGATACACAAGGTGTATCTATGCAAAGGCCCTCTTGGCTACAGCTGCTACCTGCTCTTTGAACAGGAGTTGTGAGTCAAAGATGATCCCCAAATTGTGCATCAGTCTCAAATGGGGAAGTGTAATCCTTTCCAAGACAGAGGAAGGAATGTCCCCAGAACCAAGGGGGCCAAACAGACAGAGCCAAATTGTCTTGATAGGGTTGAGCCTGAGTCCGTTCCTCCCCATTCAAGACCGCACAACCTCCATGCACTGGGTCAGGATTTTAATAGCATCACTTGGTTGGCTTGGTTATACTAATGATACCTGACCCTGATCTGACAAATAACCTTACCCAGCATTTCATGTTGATGTTAAATAGGAAAAGTAACAGTGTCAAGCCTCAAGTGGGGGAGGGGCATCAGCTTGGTCTCTCACCCCCTGTGAACACTCACTGAATCTGGCCACAAAGAAAGGAGGACCACCACCACAAAATGGTGCCCCCCACTCCCACATTTCACAGCTGATACCACGGTCGGTTGTATCAAAATCTGCTGAGAGATCAAGGGGCACAAGGAAGGATGCACTATTCCCATCCCTGCACTGCCACAGGTCATTGACAAGTATGACTGATTCTATCTCCGTACGGTAGCCCAACCTGAAACCCAACTGAAACAGATCCAGATAATCTCTCTCCTCCAGGATCCTCCGGAGCTGAAGCTCAATGACTTCTCTACAACCTTCCCTAAAAAAGTAAGATTGGAGAGTGGATGGAAATTGTCCAGGACTTTGGGTCCAGTGATGGCCTTTTGAGGAGGGGGCACAACACAGCCGTGTTCAGGGTGGTGGGAACAACCCCCTGCCTCAAAGAAGCAGATGTTACTGCATGAATTCAGCAACAGGTTATCTCCCAGGTGGCCTTGACCAACCAAGAGGGACTTGAATCTAACAAACAGGTGGCTGAGCTCATAGTGAGGGGACTCTGTCCACTTCCTCAGGAACCATAGGCACAAACTCACTCCAGATAACCCTACAAAACTCTGCCTCAGGCACTGCTGTGAAACTGTTCAACTCTGAACAAATCCAAGTGATTTTAATTGCCAAATATCAAGAATAATCCTCAGAACCACCCGAGGTGTTCCCGTGACTTATCCCTCCCTAGCAGGGAACAGGCCACTTAAGCAGGATGAGATCTTACTATTTTAATAAGATCAAAATACATATATTTTGATTCCTCCTTTTTCTGGAGTCATGATACATGCATTTTGATATTACTGTTGTTGTTGTTGTTGGGAGGAGAGTCAGGTCTCTAAGGCCCTCTGGAATGCCACCAGGGTGGGATCTCAGGGATAACCTTATTCCAGAAGACAGGCACCATGACAGAGGAGACAGGCTTCTGGGGTCCTGATAAATGACACTGTTTGATCAAAGGAAACTGGAACTTGCCAAACCTGTTGGATCGTACTGACTGGGCAGTCCCTCAAATAACCAGGCTGTATGCCGTGTAGGGCTTTATAGATCATAACCAACCCCTGGAATTACACTTGAATTATATTTATCCATAATTTGTCCCCATGTTTTTTATATGCTATTTTGTCAGTTATTGTCTTCTTGTTTCTGCAAGCCTTGAAATACAAAAGAATATGTATTTTTATTCATAGCACCCTATTCTGAAATTAAATGAGTCTAAGGGAGTGTCTGTTCTGATGAAAGGAAATCTATTTAAGTAAAACAATAAGGAAAATAACATCGCCAAGTAGTTTTGATTTTCAATTTGCAAAAGCAAAACTTAGACATGACCCAGTCCTGCCCTTAGTGATCTTTGTCTAGTTTCCTTCCATTCTTCCTACTTTTTTTATTTCTACATGTTGTTTTAGATTACAGAATAGATTGAGTTGTCGTGCTGTAGCCTTCTCCAAGTTGATGCCTTCAGATGTTTGGGACTACAATCCCAGAATTCCCCAGCCTTGTTGCTTGATTGGCTATGTTTTACTAGTATTCTATCCAACTGTCTCTTTGTAAAAATCACTCCAGCCATTCTACATACATGCAGCCTTTCTTCCCTGATGTTGGGGCTTTGACATTAGGAGAACAAGAGAAAGGGGCAAACAGAATGGGAAAGTAACTGAAAAGCTGTTCAGATATCTAGTTCAACCCTATCTACTTATAGGGTTCAAACTATACTTACAGGGTTCTGAATGCCCCTGGGGGGCCCATATAATACCACTGTTATGTGAGCTGCATTGGTTGCCAGTTTGCTTCCAGGTCCAAT